CCTCAGCACCACATAAACAGAAAAAAAAAAAGCTGGAAGTGGCCCTATGGCTCAAGTGGTAGAGCACTAGCCTTGAGCTAAAGAGCTGAGGGACAGCGCCCAGGCCCAGAGTTCAGGTCCCACGACTGGACCTCCCCCCAAAAAAAAAGAAAAAAAAAGAAAATGTAGTATATATATACAATGGAATTCTATGCTTCCATCAGAAAGAATAACATTACCCCATTCACAGGGAAATGGAAAGACTTGGAAAAAAATCATCTTAAGTGAAGTAAACCAGACCCAAAGCAGCATAGGTTCTATGGTCTCCCTCATTTGTAATAATTAGTATATGTCGAGGATAGTCCTAGCAGAGGATCACAATAGCTCAATAGCTATGAACATATGACCATATAAAATGATGCTAATCGAAATAAACTCTGAGATATGGGAGCAATTTTTTTTTCCAGTCCTGGGGCTTGAACTCAGGGCCTGGGTACTGTCCCTAAGCTTCTTTCACTCAAGGGTACCACTTGAGCCACAGCACCACTTCTGGCTTTTTCTGTGTATGTGGTACTGAGGAGTTGAACCCAGGGCTTCATGCATGCTAGGTAAGTACTTTGCCACTAAGCCACATTTCCAGCCCTCATCCTCCCCTTTTTAAAAATGTACTGTGTCAAATTCTTTTTTTTTTTTTTTTGGCCAGTCCTGAAGCCTGAACTCCGGGCCTGGGTGCTGTCCCTCAGCTCTTCAGTTCAAGGCAAGTGCTCTACCATTTGAGCCAGAGCACCACTTCTGGCCTTTTTCTGCTTATGGGGTGCTGAGGAATCGAACCCAGGGCTTCATGCATGCAAAGCAAGTGCTCTACCACTGAGCCACCTTCCCAGCCCTAAGTTATTTCCCCCCCGGCCCCCCGCCTTTGGTTTATCCCCTGTAGTCATTGTTTTTGATTTTGATACCCTGTGTCTTGTATATGTTTATCTGATTTGGGGAAGGGAAGGGAAGAGAAATAACAAAATGGTGAGACAAGGCACAGAGGGTAAACCAATGCAATAGTTATACTCACAGGACATTATGTTGGAAATGAGTTTTACAACTTGGAGGGGAGTTGGGGGGAGAGGGAAAGTGGGAGAAAACAAGGGAGGGGGCAACAATGTTTAACAAGACATGTACTCATTACCTAGGTTATGTGACCGTAACCCCTCTATACATCACTTTTAGAATAAAATTAAATTAAAAAAATGCTTAGGGACAGCATCTAGGTTCTGAGTATGGGGTGAGGGGTGTTAGGGGGAAACAAAAAACGAATCCAGACCAAATACTTGAGGGACCCATTACTTGAGAGGATAAAGGAGGAGGTGAGGCTTACCTGCAATGTGTGTAGCTATTAAATCGATGCTGTCACACATGCACAGATACAGTGCAACATGACTCATGCTGCTTATAAGGTAGTTACAGGGTTTGCTTAGGTGATAATTTCTAGGCCCTCAGCAGTTTCCTCACTCTTAAAATAAGACGTCCAATTTGCCACGCTCAGAGTGTTTTAAGAGCCCCTTCCCCTCACAGTGTGAGTGCAGTGTCCTTACACTCTGGATGTTCATGTTCACACTTCTCCTTCCACCCTAGGCTTTGGAGAATTTTGTTTGCCATGTGCCAGCATTTTTTTTTTCTCCCAGAGCCAAGCTTATCCACTGAGCTAGATCCCCAACCCTAATGTGCAGGCATCTCAATCCCAGCCCACTCTTGTGTGACTCACATGGGTACCTTCCTGTGCTTGAGATTTTGGGGGGAGGGGGGTGGGGATATTATTAAAGACTCACAAGTGCTTTTTTTTTTTTTTTTTTTGGTGGTTATGGGGCTTGCACTCAGGGCCTGGGCTATGTGTTCCTGAGCTCTCTTGCTTAAGGCTGGAGTTCTACCACTTTGAGCCTCAGCTCCACTTCAGTTTTCTGTTGGTTAACTGGAGGTAAGAGTCTCAAGGATTTCCTGGCTGGGCTGGCTTTGAATCACAATCATCAGATTTTAGTCTCCTAAATAGCTAAGCTTACAGGCATGAGCTACCAACACCTGACTTTACTACTGCTTTTCCTAAGCACCTGGAGAATTACCGGGTCAGAGGTCCATTTTTTTTTTTTTTTTTTTGCCAGTCCATTTTTTTTTGGCCTGAGCTCTGGGCCTGGGCACTGTCGCTCAGCTCTTCAGCTCAAGGCTAGCACTCTACCACTTGAGCCACAGAGTCACTTCTGGTTTTTTCTGTTTATGTGGTGCTGAGGAATCGAACCCAGGGCCTCATGCATGCAAGGCAAGCACTCTACCACTGAGCCACCTTCCCAGCCCATCCATTATTTTTTTGTGTATGAATTAAAAATTAAAATTGTTATTACCAAGGTTATGGACAAAGAGTATATATATATATATGTATATACATATACTCTTTGCACACACACACATACATATATATATATATATATATATATATATATATATATATATATATATGCTAGTTCTGGGGCTTGAACTCAGGGCTTAGGCACTGTCTCTGAGCTTTTATGCTCAAGGCTAGTGCTCTATCACTTGAGCCATAACTCTACTTCTGGCTTTTTTGGTGGTGAACTGGAGGTAAGAGTCTCACCGATCAGGGACTTTCCTGCCCAGGTTGGCTTTGAGCTGCAGTCCTCAGCCTTCTGAGTATTAGGATTACAGGTGTAAGCCACCAGCACCCGGCTCCATGATTTACTTTTACTGTTTTCATGACTGAGGAGTGATGCACTGTTTCTGGCTCTTTCAGGATCCTGGTTCTGTGGGGCTATGAGTGTTCTGGGGGTGGCCTGGGGCTACAGCACTTGTGGTTGGATCCTGGGGTCTGGAGTCTTCCAGGGAGGGAGCTCTGGCTTGGAAGTCCCTCTTCTCTAGCCCTGGCCTCTCATACCACCTGCCTTTTTTGTGCCAGTCCTGGGCTTGAACTCAGGATGCTAGGGTGTGTGTGTGTTTGTGTGAATGAGCACTTAATCTGGACTTCTCTCAGGCCTGCCCACACCTCTTCTTCACACACGAGGCAAGGTGAGCCTCTTAACAGGTTGTACTACTAATTCTAATTCACCCCTTCCTTGATAACCCCTGGCTTTATTTAGCAGTCTTAGACCACACAGGAGCCAGCGCCTGATCTCTGGTCCACCTTCTGCTCCACTTGGCTACTTGAACAGGCCAATAACAGGACAACCCCAGGGACTTTGCACGAGCGGTTCCCTCCACCTAGAACTGTCCTGGTGGCTTAGAGCTCCGCTTCAAGGTCCCTCTCTGACCATGGAGCTCCAAAGCCAACTGAATTCCCCGCGTGGTGCTGCAGAGATTCTCACCGTTATTTTATTTATTATTCTCACCTCTTTCCAGAACATCAAGTACCCCCAGAGGGCAGTGCTCCCCGCCGAATACCGGGGGCCGGGGAAGGGGCGGGGGCGAGGCCAGGCCTGGTACCGTTGTTCAGTGAACGGTTGGGCCGAGCAACCGTAGACCGGGAGGGTGGTCGGCGGCCGGGCGGGCGCGCGTCCCAGGCGGCCGGCGGCCGGGGGTGGCGGGCGCCTCTGCATTCATTCATTCATTCGTTATTTATTTAGAAACCCCTGTGCAGGTCCGGAGGGAAGACCCCCCTCCCCGGCCCCCCCGGCTGCAGGCCCGCGGTGAATGCGCTCTGGTGACCAGCGCTCCGGGCGCCCCGCACGGCTGCGGGCGGGGCGGGGGTTCTGCGGCCAGCTGGGCGCCTCCGAACCCCCGCTTTGGGGTCCCAGTGGGAGAGTCCTCCTCCCCCGCCCCCCTTGCCCAGCGGTTTCCACTTCGCACGTCGCAGATCCGCCCCAGATCCCAGGGACTTGGAGCGGTGGAGCGAGCGCAGCCGCGGGGCTCCGACCGAGTGCCCGGTGCTCTCCGGCCTCCTCGGGACCGGGGCGGTGCGGACCTCGCTCCGGGACTCGGCTGGCGAGGCCGCGTCCGTCCGCGTGGCGGACTCGGGGACCCGGAGCCCAGGGCTGGGAGAGGGAAGGCGGCCCGGCGGCGCGCTCGGGCGGCGGGCAAGCCGGGGGTGGAGAGGCCGGGGCGGAGGAGCCCGGGGACGGAGAGAGGGACAAAGAGCGGCCCCTCCCGGCCCCCACGTCAGACTTCTATTGTTCATCCCGTTTCCTACCGTGCGGAAGTCGGGTGCTCCCGGAGGGAAAGGGGAGCTGCGGCCCAGACCCAGGGCGTTTGTTTACTCGGGGGCGATAAAGGCAGACGCGGGGTCGGGAGGGGCCGGCTCCCGCTTCCGCGCGTCGCCTTTAAGGAGACCCGGCCCTACCTTTCCCACCGCGGCCCGCCCCTCCCCCAGCCCTACCTGCATTTTAAAAGCGCCCTGTAGCCCCGGGATTGGCCCAGGCCGCGTCCTCTCCGCGCAGAAACTTGAGCCGCCGGGAGGGGGTCGGAAGCCCGGCGCCCGGACCGTACCAAGTCGGCAGCTCCCCCCGCGTGCGCCCCGCCCCTCCCGCACACCCCCGGGGAGGCCCAATCGGACGGCCTGGAGGGCGGGACCGAGGCGCTCCCGCGTCTCTGGTTGGGCGCCGGGCGGGCGGACGGGTCCATCGGGCCGGGCGACGGGGGGCTGGTGGACGGCCCCCTCCGCCGTTCCTCAGCCTCTCTCCAGAAGCGGGGCCAGCCGCCCCGCCCCGCCCCCTGCTTCCCCGCCCGCGGTGGGCGGGGCGGTCGGGGCTCCGGGAGCTGGGCCGGGGGCGGGCCTCGCCTGCTTCACCCGAGCCCGCGGAGCCCCGGCACGGCGGCCGCCGACGCAGCGGCCCTCCCGGCTCCCGATCCCCCGAGGCGCGCGGGCTCCGGCCCAGGCGAGGGTGTTCCGCGAGGGCGCTCCGGGCGGCGCGGCGCGGTGCGGGCCGCACGCGCCCCCGGCCGCTCCCCGGCCGCGCGCGGACCGGCCCAGCGAAGCCCCGGCGCGGGGATCGCCGGCCCCGGCGGAGGGAGGGCGATGCCGCGGTGACGGCCCCGCCATGGCGAAGCCCCCGGCGGCGGCGGCGGCGGCCGCGGCGTCGGAGGAGCTCAGCCAGGTGCCGGACGAGGAGCTGCTGCGCTGGACCAAGGAGGAGCTGGCGCGGCGGCTGCGGCGCGCCGAGGGCGAGAAGGTGGGCCTCATGCTGGAGCACGGCGGCCTGATGCGCGACGTGAACCGGCGGCTCCAGCAGCACCTGCTGGAGATCCGCGGGCTCAAGGACGTGAACCAGCGGCTGCAGGACGACAACCAGGAGCTGCGCGAGCTCTGCTGCTTCCTCGACGACGACCGGCAGAAGGGGCGCAAGCTGGCGCGCGAGTGGCAGCGCTTCGGGCGCCACGCGGCGGGCGCCGTGTGGCACGAGGTGGCCCGCTCGCAGCAGAAGCTGCGGGAGCTCGAGGCCCGCCAGGAGGCCCTGCTGCGGGAGAACCTGGAGCTCAAGGAGCTGGTGCTGCTGCTCGACGAGGAGCGCGCGGCGCTGGCGG